GAATGGGATTGCAAGTTCTTACAGTATCTGTCTAGCCAGCCAATTTAACCAATTGCCCTAGACAACCATTCATTTCCTACTCCCCTTTAGGCAAGATGCTACATATGATTGGGATCCCTCCCTTTGACTTAATGAAATCTATAGCTGACCTGTACTTATCTAGCAGCTCTTCTCTCCTACCCTTCCCAATATCATTTCCACCAGCACTGAGACAGATAATGGGCTTGTTCCCATTACCTGACATGATATTATCCAGCCTGTTGACAATGTCCCCAACACCAGCTCCAGGGAAGCACACTCTATCTCTCATCTTCTTATTCCTATTACAAAAAGCACGGTCAATATATCTTACCTGAGAGTCGCCAACCACAAGAATGCGCTTACCTCCATTAGCAGGGGCAGTAGTACCCTTACCTTCACTGGCCACTGAAGTACATTCATCTGAGAACAGAGAAGCGATTTCCTACCTTCAGATCTTCACTCTTTACTTTCCTTACTCTGATGCGCCTCCCATTACTGTGAACCACTCGCCACTTGTAGCAGGTGCTGGGCTGCACCTCACTGCTGGTAGCCGTTGCTACCTCCCCAACTACAGCCTCCTCACAGCGAGAGACAGACTGCACCTCACTGCTAGAAGCCTCATTCCCCACAACTCCAGCCACCTCACACTCTCTTCCAGACCCATTGAGGTGGACCTTCAGCCTCCTAATCTCCTCCTGGAGAAGCAAGACCTCTTCCTTCAACTCTCCAACCTCAATTTTTAAAACACTGCAGAAGCAAGCCATGCTTTGTAACCATCCACGCTAATCCCCAAAGCAGCTCAGGGTCTGTGACCTCACCTCAGGATTTGGGGTTGTGGCAGTCAAGGGGTTAAAAGATTGTCTTGTCAAATCAGCCTTTAAACATGACACTTGGAGTAACATGAATTGTAGTTCCAATTCTGTTTATTATATGAAAGTGGCATATGCCAAACCCCATGAGTTAAATAGGACACACAAAACAGGAGTGAGGGACAATCAAGTCTGATCCAAGGGAGGACCATGGCAATTCCTTGGACCAAGAGCCCTTCATTAGCTTAGAGTGTTATGTTTATGCCTTTCACAGTGCACTGTCAAGTGTTTTAGTCTTTAAAATGTGCACAACTTGACCCACCTGTGACTATTTTTGAAGGTTTTATACCCCACCAGTCTGACCTTTGACCAAGCTTACTGTATGATTGCCTGTGGAACCAAGTTGTTGTTATTGGCCCACTGCCCACTTAGCCATCACAGTCTCACTGATCTCGCACCTGCATGTAGTTCTGGGGGATCGCTGCCCAAGCAGCCCAGTCCCGGCAACTTATTTTGCTTCAGTCTGTCTATCTGCTTCACAACCATTTCACTAGTGACTATGATGTTACATAATTTATCTTCTTCTAGCCCACTATAAAAATTAATTACTGGAATATTGTTATTGTCTTCCTGTATAAAAACCGAGAGAAAATAATTATTTAAAATCGAGCACATTTCATTCTCTTTGTCAGTAAGATGCCCATAGTTATTTTTAAGGGGACCTATCTTATCTCTAACTTTTGTTCTATAGACCTGGAAAAAACTTTTTGGGTTAGTTTTAGAATCCCTAGCAACTTTAATTTCATAGTCCCTTTTAGCTTTTCTTATCCCCTTTTTAATGTCCCTCTTAATGTCAATATACTGATTCATAAGATGACCCTCACCTCTTTTGATACGCCTGTAAATTCCTTTCTTATGCCCTAGTAGATATTTCAGCCTATTATTCATCCATTTTGGGTCATTTCTATTTGATCTAATTTCTTTATACGGGATAAACGTTCTTTGAGCAGCATGTATAGTGTTCAGAAAATTGTCATATTGATATCTCTCTTCGTTACCCCAGTCAACAGATGATAAGTATTCTCTAAGCCCATCGTAATCTGCTAAGCAAAAATCTGGGACTGTTACTGAGTTATCGCTACTAAAGTACTTCCATTCAATGCTAAATGTAATTGATTTGTGGTCGCTAGTACCCAGTTTCTCTGAAATTTCTAAATTATTAACAAGGGATTCATTGTTTGCCAGAACTAAGTCAAGCAGGTTATTTCCCCTTGTTGGTTCTGTCACAAACTGCTTCAAAAAACAATCCTGAACTACTTCTAAGAAGTCGTATGATTCTAAATTCCCAGTCAAGAAATTCCAATCAATATGACTAAAGTTAAAGTCTCCTAGAATTACTAAATTATCGTGCCTTGTGGCCTTAACAATTTCCTCCCATAGTAGTCTCCCTTGGTCCCTATCTAAGTTTGGGGGATGGTATATCACTCCTAAAATCAGTTTTTCATGCCCCTCTGAAAATTCTATCCAAACAGACGCTGTATGTGTTACTTCAGACTTAATACCCGTTTTTATGCAACAGTTCAAGCGATCTCGGACATACAATGCCACCCACCCCCTTCCCGATACTTCTATCTACTTGGAACAATTTAAAGCCCTGAATGTGACATTCCGCAGGCATGTCCCGACTTTTTGAATTAAACCACGTCTCAGTTAAGGCAAATACATCAGTGTTACCTGCACTAGCAACTAATCTCAACTCGTCCATCTTATTCCTAGCACTTACGGCTATTAGCATATAATAAACATTAAAGGACTCTCCTTTCTCTTTACCCTTCCTGCTCATTTCTGTTTTTCTACTAAACCTATTACTGTCCTTATCACCCAGTGTCACTGGTTTTTCAATATCTACCTCGTTCTGCTTATTACTAGTTCCCCTAGAACTCATAATATTACTACACTGGGATTCACTGTTTTCCTGCCAAAACCCATACCACTAACTATTCCTAGTTTAAAGTCCTAACAGCTCCCTCCACTGCAGTTGCCAGTGCCCCCACCCCAGACCTAGATAAGTGAACCCCATCCCTGGCATACATGTCATTTCTGCCATAGAAGAGGTCCCAGTTGTCAATGAATGTTACTGCATTTTCCTTACAGTATTTGTCCAGCCAGCAATTGACACCAATTGCCCTGGACAACCATTCATTTCCAACTCCTCTCCTTGGCAAAATACACATATGACAGGGTTCCCACCCTTCCTCCTAATTATTTCTATTGCTGACCTATACCTGCTAATCAGGTCTTTACTCCTACGTCTGCCAACATCATTGCCTCCAGCACTGAAGACAGATAATAGGATTGCTCCCATTACCTCTCATGATGTCATCCAGACAGCTAACAATATCCTCCATCCCAGCCCCAGGAAAGCAAACCCTCTGTCTCCTACTCCTGTCCTTCAAGCAGAATGCCCTATCCATATACCTAACTTGGCTATCCCCAACAACAACAATATTCTTACCTTCCATTCGTCGGGTAGCACTGAGAATGTATTACATGTTTCCACAACAGTTTCCATGGCAGTCTCTTTCTTCTTCATCGTTTCTACCTTTCCATTCGTCTTCTTGATCGTCAACTTCGTTCCCTGCTGTCCAGCCACTGACCAGTTTCCCTTCTTGACCTAAGGACTCAAAACAGGAGGACTACTACGAATCCACTCATTTGCAAGCCCCAAATGAATGGATAGAGTTATCAGAGCTTATTTCTTGGGTAGCATTGAGGACTGGGTTGGAAAAATGTTTCGTTAGTGGGATGAATTGTAAAGGACCTGCCGAGCATGGGCCAACAGGCCTGCTGCAGTGATCCTCCTTTCTTATATTCATCAACCACTATCACAATTGCTTCCACTCTACCACCACCATCTTTGTATTTTTCTACAAACTTTTTCATAAATTATGTGTTTCTCACATTCTTTACCAAAGGGCTGGCACTAGAAGCTTTCTTTGGAGCCATGATAGCTTATTTAGCACTTGCAAGCACTAAAATCAATGGAATATTATGAAATATTTTCATAGGAGCATGTGAGGGGACCATCACTCACTGGTAAACAATGGCACACTGGCTGGGAAGGCAGGCCCAGGCGGTTCAGAGCATGAGTACCTGTCCCGGACGAAGGACGATTAGCGAGTTAACGAACCATTTGTGAGCCAATATTTAGACGAAAAAACAGGACTATTTCCGAAATGGACGACTTTCAGGCCGGACGATTATTGAGGGACCACTGTACAGTGGAACCTCAAATATCGAACTTTCTTCAGTCCAGAAGGCTGTTCGAGTGCCTTTACCGAATGAGTTTATTCCCATCAGGAATAATGTAAATTAGATTAGCTCATTTCAGACCCTCAAAAATACACTTATGAAAGCACTTACAAAAATACACTTACATAATTGGTTGTGTTGGGAGCAGTTCGATTTTTGAGGTTCCACTGTAGTTGTTTATTTCCCAGAAATTTGGCATAAAAAACACGGTCGTAAGTCGAGTGGTCGTAAGTCGAGCAGGTCATAAGTCGGATGGTTGGTGTATCTGTAACTTGTATTTATTTTAAGTCCCTACTAATACTGTGTATTAGACCTATAGAGAAAATATTAAAAATTAAAAATAAATAAAATTAAGAAAATTTTAAGAATGGTATACATAATCAAAGTTTTACCCGAGATGCTATTTATTCGTATAGTCCTTCAGATTATTGTATGTCCTGTGCAATAATACTGAAATATAGATTAGTATTTACATTTTCTTTTACCAACATTTGTAATAACCAGTACGTATAAACTTTTTATAATAAAAAGTTTTACAAAATAAATTCAAAAATATCCTAATCATAAACCAAGGTGTTAGGGTTTATGTCAATGATTGTAAATTTTAGCATTCTTGTAAACCAAATTAATTATTCATCCTGTAGTTACTTGTTTACTTTAAGGTTGCCCTTCATATTCTGCATTGCCAGGGGCTTTAAGTATATCATTAATGTCAACTGTTTCTGAATCAAATTGCAAATTGCACTTTGCAGAAATAATTTTTTTAACACCGAGACAAGGCGACCCGAAAAAGAAACACTTTCATATGTAGAAATAATATTTATTATTAATTATTTATCAATGTTATTCCTGTTGCAGATATATTAAAGTCACTACTCAAACTGTCATTTACTGTGGGTGGGGGAGCTGATAAGATACGTTATACTGCTGATGGTCGTCTTGTCAACTCTTTTACCATCAAGCAAATCACAGCAAAAGGCCTTCGTCAGGTTTGTAAAAGACTGCAAATGTAAAAGCTGTGCTGTGTATCATTGTCTTGGCTTTGCATGCCTGTATAATAGATTTGATTTAGTATGAGTATGATAATCTGGTATTATAGGTACATGTACTATAATGTTTTCCTTGTGTTCACATAGTGTTACGTGTACAGTATTGTAATTTCAATCTTCTTCTTTCCTTATTGCTTATTTCTTCAACCTTTTTTTATATATAATCTACAAATAGCAACATTCAGGTATCCTTTCCTTTATTTGGAGTCATTTTACAGTTGAATTCTGGAATTAACGAGTTTCGTAATCAGTGAAACTCGATTATACACTGTTTTTACTGAAGGTCATTTAGTGGATAACATTTTATTCACCTTTTTTTTTTTTCCTAGGTGTCCATTTGTATATTTTATCACCATGCACTGAACTTTTTCCAATAAAGTACCTGACAGTCGAAGATGTATAAGGATAAACTTACACTGGACTGAATGCATTGACAAATTCACAACTTACAGAAAGCAACACTTTAAATAAAGCTTGGGAGAGCCAACAATTAAGATTTTAGTAACACTTGCTTTTCTTTGGAAATGTTTACATGGGTTAATTTAGTCTTTTTCTTGAATATTATTTGTATCATTTGAACAGGTGGGTGTTTACCGTGAGGACACAGGCGTAGTGTGGTCCCCTAGAGAGATGCTTGGCTCAGAAAAACTGGAATATGGACGGAAGGGAAGAACATTAGGTTTAGTATCTATTGAAGAACGAGAGAAGGACAGTGCTATTCAGTCCGTCTTGCTAACTCATGAGGTAAGTTCCCCTCCTATTTTTAGAGAAAATTATAAGGTATTTTGTAATTCTAATTGATATATCCTGAGTGGTAACACCAAACATGTTCAATAATTTATAAGCTATGTAAAACAAAAGCTGATTTGAATGTTTTAATAAAAACTAAAAATATTTTGTAATGTGTGTATTGTTGGCAGTTTATGCTAGGATGAAATAACTCAAAGTATAAAATATATAATGGTGAAGGAAAAATGTACATTGTACATATTTGCTGAAAAGCAGACTCCAAAACTAGATTTAAGGGGTGGCAACAGAGAATAATTGTCAGGGGCCCCCCACAAAAAAAAGTACAGCCTCCCCTCACTTAGTGACATACTCATTTACCGACGACTTAGACTTACGACGGGCTCTCTGACCAGTATGCATACCTAAATAATGTATATTAGAGAGGATTTCCTCTATTCTGTTTATTACAGTATACATCTACCATCCGACTTACGACTGAGTTCGGTTCCGAGAAACCGGTCGTAAGTCGAAATGGTCATAAGTTGAACTTTACTGAAGATCAACAAAACATTTTTGTAATGACTTTATTTTATTGTTTTATTTTGGTATTTCATGTTTTACTTTACTTTTTATGTTGTTAGTACTGTATTTTATACTGTAAGGTTTAGGATAAACACTGTGTACAACACAAATAGTTGTTTATTTCCCAGAAATTTGGCATAAAAAACACGGTCGTAAGTCGAGTGGTCGTAAGTCGAGCAGGTCGTAAGTCGGATGGTAGGTGTATGTACACTACATTACTGTATAAACATAAAAAATACACCAGAAATGTTATAAATGGTGCAAAGGTGACATTAAAACAATATCAGAGATGGTTGACACAAACCCACTACCATTATATAGTAGTATGCTCCTCATTTAGCAACGAATTCGTTTACCAATGTGGTCTTAGGAACGGAACTCCATCGTTAAGTGAGGAGAGGCTGTAATTTGTACTAAGAAAAATATTAATTTATAATGTTTGACTGAAGCAAATAATTACAAATAATTTACAGTAGGCTTAATTGGAAGGGATTGTATAATAAGACTGCATACCCACTCATTGTGTACAATGCTTTTTATCTGTGTTTAAACTACGAAATGTTACAGCTGCTAAATTTTTATTATTCTTAGTGGTAGTACTAACATCAGCAACAACTGTTAACTGTAGAATGGGGCATCCACAAACTCCCCAGGCCACTACCCCTTCAATTATATCTGACCCCAAAACTCCTTACTGGGGTCACCATCTAACCTCTTGTATTTTCTGTAGCACTAACAGTTCATCTTAAAACAATAATTGCTTAATGTGAGCAAAGGACGAGCAAAATAAAAGGTGCTAAATAAAACCAAGATGAATCTATTTAAAAATTAAAAAAAAAATAACTATGGTGAAAAAGTAATTTACATTTACAGTGCATAGATATTACGTAGTAAGTTGGTAGACAGCAACCACCCAGGGAGGTACTACCGTCCTGCCAAGTGAATGTAAAACAAAAGCCTGTAATTGTTTTACATGATGGTAGGATTGCTGGTGTTTTTTTGTCTGTCTCATAAATATGCAAGATTACAGATATGTCTTGCTACTTCTTCTTACACTTAGGTCACACTACACATACATGTACACGTTTATTTATACACACTCATCTGAGTTTTCTTTGATTTTATCTTAATAGTTCTTGGTCTTATTACTTTTCCTTTTATATCCATGGGGAAGTGGAATAAGAATCTTTCCTCCGTAAGCCATGCGTGTTGTAAAAGTCAACTAAAATGCCAGGAACAATGGGCTAGTAACCCCTTTTCCTGTAAAGATTACTAAAAAGAATAAGAAGAAAATTGTCAAAGTGGGAAGTCTGAATGTGCGTGGATGTTGTGCAAATGATAAGAAAGAGATGATTGTGGATGTTATGAATGAGAAGAAGCTGGATGTCCTGGCTTTAAGTGAAACAAAGCTGAAGGGGGTGGGAGAGTTTCAGTGGAGAGGAATAAATGGGATTAAGTCAGGGGTTTCAAATAGAGTTAGAGCTAAAGAAGGAGTAGCAATAATGTTGAAGGATAAGATATGGCAGGAAAAGAGGTACTATAAATGTATTAATTCAAGGATTATGTGGAGGAAAAATAAAGGTTTGATGTGAAAAGTGGGTTATAGTAAGTGTATATGCACCTGGAGAAGAGAGAAGTGTAGAGGAGAGAGAGATTTTGGGAAATGTTGAGAGAATGTGTGGGGAGTTTTGAACCAAGTGTGAGAGTACTTGTGGTTGGGGATTTCAATGCTAAAGTGGGTATAAATGTTGTGGAGGGAGTAGTAGGTAAATTTGGGGTGCCAGGGGTAAATGTAAATGGGGAGCCTTTAATTGAGCTATGTTTAGAAAGAGATTTGGTAATAAGTAATACATATTTTATGAAAAAGAGGATTAAATATACAAGGTATGATGTAGCACGTAATGAAAGTAGTTTGTTAGATTATGTATTGGTGGATAAAAGGTTAATGGGTAGGCTCCAGGATGTACATGTTTATAGAGGGGCAACTGATATATAGGATCATTATTTAGTTGTAGCTACAGTTAGAGTAAGAGGTAGATGGGACAAGAGGAAGGTGGCAACGACAAGTAGGAGGGAAGTGAAAGTGTATAACCTAAGGGAGGAGGAAGTTCGGGTGAGATATAAGCGACTATTGGCAGAAAGGTGGGCTAGTGCAAAGATGAGTAGTGGGGGGGGGGGGGGTTTGAAGAGGGTTGGATGAGTTTTTAAAAATGCAGTATTAGAATGTGGGGTAGAAGTTTGTGGTTATAGGAGGGTGGGGGCAGGTGGAAAGAGGAGTGATTGGTGGAATGATGAAGTAAAGGGTGTGATAAAAGAAAAAAAGTTAGCTTATGAGAGGTTTTTACAAAGCAGAAGTGTTATAAAAAGAGCAGAGTATATGGAGAGTAAAAGAAAGGTGAAGAGAGTGGTGAGAGAGTGCAAAAGGAGAGCAGATGATAGAGTGGGAGAGGCACTGTCAAGAAATTTTAATGAAAATAAGAAAAAATTTTGGAGTGAGTTAAACAAGTTAAGAAAGCCTAGGGAACGTATGGATTTGTCAGTTAAAAACAGAGTAGGGGAGTTAGTAGATGAGGAGAGGGAGGTATTAGGTAGATGGCGAGAATATTTTGAGGAACTTTTAAATGTTGAGGAAGAAAGGGAGGCGGTAATTTCATGCACTGGCCAGGGAGGTATACCATCTTTTAGGAGTGAAGAAGAGCAGGATGTAAGTGTGGGGGAGGTACGAGAGGCATTACGTAGAATGAAAGGGGGTAAAGCAGCTGGAACTGATGGGATCATGACAGAAATGTTAAAAGTAGGGGGGAATATAGTGTTGGAGTGGTTGGTACTTTTGTTTAATAAATGTATGAAAGAGGGGAAGGTACCTAGGGATTGGCGGAGAGCATGTATAGTCCCTTTATATAAAGGGAAGGGGGACAAAAGAGATTGTAAAAATTATAAAGGAATAAGTTTATTGAGTATACCAGGAAAAGTGTACGGTAGGGTTATTATTGAAAGAATTAGAGGTAAGACAGAATGTAGGATTGCGGATGAGCAAGGAGGTCTCAGAGTGGGTAGGGGATGTGTAGATCAAGTGTTTACATTGAAGCATATATGTGAACAGTATTTAGATAAAGGTAGGGAAGTTTTTATTGCATTTATGGATTTAGAAAAGGCATATGATAGAGTGGATAGGGGAGCAATGTGGCAGATGTTGCAAGTATATGGAATAGGTGGAACGTTACTAAATGCTGTAAAAAGTTTTTATGAGGATAGTGAGGCTCAGGTTAGGGTGTGTAGAAGAGAGGGAGACTACTTCCCGGTAAAAGTAGGTCTTAGACAGGGATGTGTAATGTCACCATGGTTGTTTAATATATTTATAGATGGGCTTGTAAAAGAAGTAAATGCTAGGGTGTTCAGGAGAGAGGTGGGATTAAATTATGGGGAATCAAATACAAAATGGGAATTGACAGTTACTTTTTGCTGATGATACTGTGCTTATGGGAGATTCTAAAGAAAAATTGCAAAGGTTAGTGAATGAGTTTGGGAGTGTGTGTAAAGGTAGAAAGTTGAAAGTGAACATAGAAAAGAGTAAGGTGATGAGGGTATCAAATGATTTAGATAAAGAAAAATTGGATATCAAATTGGGGAGGAGGAGTATGGAAGAAGTAAATGTTTTCAGATACTTGGGAGTTGACGTGTCGGCGGATGGATTTATGAAGGATGAGGTTACTCATAGAATTGATGAAGGAAAAAAGGTGAGTGGTGCGTTGAGGTATATGTGGAGTCAAAAAACGTTATCTATGGAGGCAAAGAAGGGAATGTATGAAAGTATAGTAGTACCAACACTCTTAACCCCTTCAGGGTCCAAGGCCAAAATCTGAAGTGGTGCTCCAGTGTCCAAGAAATTTTGAAAAAAAAAACAAATTATTTTTTCTTACAGAATTAAAGAGCATATTTTTGTGAAGGTAATAAGACAAAAAAAAAATTCTGATCAGTACTTACCGAGATACAGTGCCAAGAAGTTTGTCAAAAATGATGTGGTGGCGGCAACATCGACGAATTCCACATACGCGCATTACATTATTTTGCGGTTTTTACATTTTTTTTTCTTTTCTTTTCCAATTTTTTTCTATTCCTACTAACATTTGGGGCCTGAGAGACCAATACTGTATATAATGTATATATATATAAACTACTCACAGTATTGAACACAATAACCAGCACTAAAAGTTATTATCATATTGTTTACCACTGTTGTTTAATACAATAAACATCCCACAAATCTTGTATAATACTAATGTTCTATCATATATTAACATATTACATCACTGGAACATGGTTGTTAGAACTGCTGGAGATTGTGGAACACCTTGAAACAAGGCACCATGCACAGAGGCAACCTTACATTCTCACACAAAACCGAGTGTCTTTTGCGTCTTGTTCCCGTCGTT